TAATTTTAGTTTATTTACAATATGAGCTTGTGAATATTTAATAATTTTTTGTATAGTTAATAAATTAGATAAGATTTCATCTTTGTTGATCATATATCCTAGAAAAAGTAATTCTTTTTAGATAAAGTTGTATTTGATTTTGTTAAATCTTAGTTCAGCTTTTTTTATTTATTAAAATACTAGTTATAAGTATTATAAGTATTCTTCAAAAGTTTAGAAAAAATATTAATATTATTAATATAAATAATAGCAAATTTTTAATTAATCTTCAAGCATATTATTTATAACTTATTAAAATATAGTAAATCTATTATATAATTTAAATGATATAATATTAAATTTGAATAATCTTTCATGAGAAATAAAAATAATTTTTTGAATATTATTAGAATATATTTTAACTTGTTAAAATTTATTAATTAAATTAGTTAATAAAAATTATTTAGTCTCTTAAGAATATTCATTATTTTGTCAATTTAAGATAAAGAATAAGTATCTTTTTTATAATAAACTGAGTTTTTGAAAGTTAATACAAAATCATTTTTTGTTATTCTTTCTTATTATTATAATAATAAATAAGATTCAAAAACTAGTAGAGAGTTAAGCTATTTTAATATTAATTATCTTTAAGATTTTTTTGAAATAAAGTCTTAATCTAGTATTATTGCTCTTTTGATTGATTATTTATTTTTAGTATTAATTACATATTAAATTTGATTAATTTTTCTAAGTTTATGAAGTTCAACAATAAATATTTCTTTGAATTCTTTTAATAATTAATTTAGAGTTTGTTTTTTTCTTTGATTAATTTTCATTGTTCTATTGACTTGTTATTTTCTTTTTTTAATTTAGAAAATATATTATATTTTTACTATTTGTTAATTTAAATTTGTTAATTTTATGACTAAATTTTTTTAGTTTTTATCAAGTATATATTGGGTATATTCTTTTAATTGAAGCTAGTTATAGAAATATTACTTGAATAATTTTGTCATTTTGTTAAATAGTATAATTTTTATTGAATTAGTTATATAATATTATATTAATATTTTTAGTATAGTTAAAGCTAATAATATTATTTTTGATATTAATTTCTTTAAGAGTAAAAAATAATCAAAATATCAATTAATATATTATTTCAAAGAATATTTTTATGATAATGAATAAATTAATTAATATTATTTGTTATAATTTGATAATAAGTTATTGTTTTCTAATATATTTGATATCAAAATTAGTATTATTTTTATAAGTTCATTTTAACATTGTTTAATTTATATTTATTTAAGATTTCTTTATATAATTTATAAGTATTTTTATCATTAAAGATTGTATTATTTTTTATTTGACTGATTTTATTTTAAATTTCTTTATATAGTTAATAGATTTCATTAAATATGTCTTGTAAATTAATAATATTGAATATCTGAAGAGATCTATTTTTAATATATTTAATTTTTTCTAATAGTTTATTTGATTTAATAGTATATTAATTAATTTCTTGAATGAATTTTTCTTTTTCAATTATAAAATATATGAATATTTTGTCTTATTAATTTTATGGATAGTTAATTGATAATTGCTTGTTCTAATTATATATAATTATTATAATAAGTTAAATTACAGAGAATGAAACAATCTTTATATAATTTGATATTGATAAATTCAAGCTTAGTGAATTGTAATTATTATTTTGAAGAAATTTGTTAATAGATTGAATAAAAGATTTTAGTAACTAAGATTTCTTTTAATTTATTATATTTAATATATTCAATTTTATTTATAATATTTTCTTTTTATATATATTGAGATAATATTGCTTTTCTAATTTTATTATAAGCTGAATAGTTATTTATTAAAAAAAATTATTCTCTTATTTTTGAATAATTTTAGAATTTTTGCATCATTTATTATAATTAAACCAAAAGATATATTAATATTTATAAATATAAAGTATTATTTCTTATAACTACTAGTAATATATATATATTTCTGGTTTTATCTCAATCTTCACAATATGAATAGATCAGTAAATACAAGTATTTTTTGATTATATATTCATTACAAACTGATAATTTTTTTCTATTTATTTGAAAGTATAATCTGAAATGATATTTGTCAATATATTTTTCACATTCTAAATATTGTTTAATTTGTATGATTAGATAAATTCAGTATAGAGCATCTTTATAAGAATCAAATCTTACTTTTACTCAGTTTTTGACAAAGAATTCATGTTTATTTTAGTGATTTAATCATCTCTAGTTTTGTATTTAGTATAATATAACTTGTGTCTTTTAATAATAATTCAATCAGCTAGATCATTATAACAACACTTAATTAAATTGAACTAGTTTTAGATTGTTTGTTAATTGATCCTTTATTAAAGTGAACTTTGTTATATATATTTATTAAAAAAGCAAAATAGCAACTATATTTGATTGGTTATAATTTTAAGCATATGCAATATATATGTACAGTACCCCAAAAATAACCCAACCTGATTTTTTAAAAAATGAAATTTTTGATTTATTTTATTTCTGCTTTATATACCATTAACTAATACATCACCCACCCTTTATATGACTTCAATATCTCTTCGATTCCTTATGACATCGAGCTTATATCCTATCCCAAACTATCACATTAAATTTTGACTACAAGTTTTGAAAAGCTTACAATGGTTTCTAGATGTTTTCTATGAAGCCAGGTCTGGAAGAATACGTTAATTGGTTCATAATCATTAATATTTCTATTTCGTGACCTTTTTATAATTATAGTTCGGGTAAATTTTTACAAAGATTTGTTGTTGACAATGTCACGAAATGGTTAGTTAGGTTGTCTTTTTTGGCTTCTTGTAAATGTGCATTTTTTTCTTGCTTGTTAAGAGCTTGTGACCTTCCAAACCCTGGTAAATTTTCTTTTTTCCTATTTCTCTTGTATTCGGCAAGAGACCATTATCCCGTCATTGAGTCACGAATCATTTTTCTTGCAACTTGTGCGACACTCAAAATCCCAATAAAAATTATCCATTTTACCCTTGTCAAAGTCGATCAACTAGGCGGGGTGTGTTATATTTACAACCAACAAATATATTCAAAAGTTGAAGAAAGAAAAAAATTTTGCAGTTAACAATAATGGTCCAAATCGGGCGTTACTTTCTATGGCGACTGTACATGTATCAGTATGTAGATGATCGACCAAACCTTATTGGTTATCAATAATACGCGCGATAGGAACGTTAAAAACAAAAACATTCGTAATAGTGTGACACAACAATTCAATAAGGAAATATCTGTCACGACCCCGACCAAATATTATTGGTTTATGCAATAATACGCGATAGGAACGTTAAAAAACAAAAACATTCAACAATTCAATAAGGAAATATCTGTCACGACCCCGACCAAATCTTATTGGTTTATGCAATAATACGCGATAGGAACGCTAAAAACAAAAACAAAACATTCAACAATTCAATAAGGAAATATCTGTCACGATCCCAACCAATAATAGTATAGGAGAAATAGGGGGAAAAACATATTTAAAGAGTACGTTGGTACTAAAATTTCTCTTCACTCAGAAATGGTGCACTTCGCTTGTGATGATACCTTGTGAAGGATCCATTCCTGTAAAATAGCCTGTTCTGTAAAAATATCCTGTGAAGACCCTTCGAGTTTCATCTGGGGGCTGACTGGGAACTGAACAGGAGAATGAATCCTGATCAGGGAACTGACCAGGGATGCGGGGGACACTCTTCTGAAGCCTGCGGGCATAAATAGCCTTCGGGCACTTGAAACAGCCTTCAGGCACTTAACTTAATAGAGAATAAAGGAAAAGGGGTGGTGAACAATATTAATGACGAAAATACACTTTATAGTGAAGACTAATTTAATAACTTTTTTTACCAAGACACTTGTATTTTGTGTTTTAAATAGAGTCGTTGGAATGTGATTGTGGAAATAATGATTTTTAGGCTGACCCGATTGGAGTACTATTAGCAGTGTTGTCGCTTGGACATAAATCCAGCCATTTGATTAGTTGGGATGCTTGTCCCAGCCAATCAAATTGCTGGGTTACGTTCAAGCGACAACACTGCTAATAGTATACATGTATATAGAAATATAATCCACTTACAATTGACTCTTAAAGGTATCCCAACAACCTGTCTTTATCGAGATTTGAGGAACATTTTTTGTGTTAATAATTACAATCAATTCTAGTAATCATGGATAAAAATATTGAATAAAATACCTGAAACAATGCTTTTCTACGTGCCTAATTTTATTTTGAATTCGATTTCTCTTTGCTGGCATCGATCATATCCTTCAACTAATAAGTATTTATAACTACAAAACCTTATGCGACACCTCTGATGCTCCACTAATGATATCTTCAGGCAACCCAACGATCTGTACAAATTTTAATCATGCAGTAACTCCAAAAGATTAGTTATAATTACATAATTTCTTATTAATTATGTTCATTACGTTGTCGCTTAGACGCAAATCCAGCAATTTAATTGGTCTGGACACTTGTCTAGACCAATCAAATTGCTGTATTTGCGTCCAAGCGACACCCCCCCAACCCACTAAAATATTAATAAATGTCACCGCTCTTATGAAACCACATAAAGTCACATGATTGAATTTTTTATTGGTTACAGGGAAGATATGACTTATTTTTCAGTATGTTTTGGGCAGTGCAACGCATTTCTCCAATAAATAAATAACGCGTGACGATTCCGGAAAAAATTGAGATCAATCATGTGATGTCAAGCCGATGTCACCTCACGAAGCGAGATCCGTTATTTTTGCATGTGAGAGGGAAATAAAATGAGACCCTTGATATATATATATATAATGTTTGGGTCAATGAAGGGCTTTATTAAAAAAAATGGCATTAGCTTTGAAATGACATAGGAAATACTAATTCACCAAATACTATGATACACAGATAACCACATTTAAGCTTCCTGTCATACAATCAAAAACAAGAACCTAATCCTCAGAATCGTTAAACTGCATTGATAAGAAGTTAGACGGTACGGTTTGGCTATGATCTCTGATTTTTTTTGGCGTTGACATATATGATGGGATTTCATACATATTTCGAGGTCGCTTCTTTATGCCTGCTTGTACAAACACTTCAGATGCCTGCGCGTTTGACTGAGCAGGTTTGGATTGAACTGTTTTGATAGTTTCCCTAACAACAGCCTGAAAATTGCAAAGAATAAACATGATAATTGTCATCATAGGAATAGTATATTAGAAAGAAACCAATAATAATGGTACCTTGATGTTTAGAACCGCTGCCAGAATTTACAAAACATCCGAAAAATTTTCCGGCACCTGCATCAAATCTCCGCGCCGGATGCGGTACACGTAGCCATTAGGATTGTCATCATCATCGTCCCTACATTTCATTTGATGGTAAGCATCTTGACATTTGTTACACTAGTTCCTCTATGATCAAAATATGGAAAATTGCTTACCCGCATGGATGATTCCCACTGTTTGCAGTTTCTTGCACAACTCTCTATTCCAGTCTACTTTTTGCATGAGCTTTAACATGTACTTCAAACATTTTGGAGACTTAACACACGTTTCCTTCAGAAACTTCGTCCCATGATCGTCAAACCAGTACTTTCCCGCTTCGCCAATACCACATTCATCACACTCACCGTTCCCAATCCGTCTCAAAACCCAATCTCCTCGGTGTCCACTCTTTCGCCGAGTTGTTGTAGTCCTATGTGCATTCTTATTTCGCTCAGCATTCGCGGTGCTTGTGCTTTTCCCACTTCATAGATGACAACCACACAAAACCAAATTAAGACATAACGACTAAATAATTAAAGCATGAAAGATAGAATACATACCGAACAATAGATGTCTCCTCCAAATCCGCAAAACCTTGGTCAACGATGACAGCCAACACATGACAGCTGTATCACGCCTCCAAATTTGGTCCTTTAGTCCTCCATTCTCAATTTCTCTAACTCTGTACAATTTTTCAATTGGGACACTTGATTTAATGTAAAGAAATTCTGGTATATGATAACCTACAGTGTGTATCGGTATAGCGCAAATCTAATGTAGTAAGCGTCTTGATCGTACTTGATATCCAATCTTTCATCAATTCATTAATTGCCTTACGTATTTCTTTTAGTGTTTTCTGTCAAAAGGAATGATTTTAATGTATATATATGTGCATTGCTTGCAAAATAGTATATAGAATGTCACACCTTGCCATTAAATTTACTAAGATAATCTATAATGTCTTGTGATAGCTGTGGTGCCACCGGAACACCCGCATTCGCCATTTCTAGACATTCAGCTTCACTAAAATGCTGTTTTATTAATTCGCCATCCACGTCCACAACAAAGGAGTGGGCTCCGCTAGGAAATACAGATCTGCAACTAATACATTTTCCTAATAAGTACTTGCAGGTGACATCACCAGCTTACTGCTCAAATTACAGACCAAGACCAAGTTGAAATAATTCCTCTTCGACCACATGTTTTCTTCTTCATTGACAAAAAGACAACCTCAATTTCTTTGCGGTTTGCATTACTCAAACGCCAAGGACAAGTCTGTTGTTCCTTGTTAGCTTTTATGGCTAAACTCAGAAAATGTCAACGAAGAATTATACCTTATTCTCTTTCATTGCCTTCATTTTAGGATGTAAATCATTGAAATTGTCATCATTCACCGAAAGCTTTTATAATCAAGATTCAGTACTTTAGAAATCAGGACCAACAGACAAATTAACATAGAATGAGAATGATACCTCAGCAACAAAAGGATTAGATACAAACTGAGTTTCGTAGATTGAACATTCTTCCTTTTCTTCTTGTTGTTTTGGTGTATGGTACCGATCATGCAACGCATTCTGTCGTTCAGGCGTACAGAATCCATACGCATATTCTTGGCAATTTCTTATGCTGTGTCTCTGCCTGGTCAAATGCAAACTTAATTAGAAAAGTAAACAATATCGATATTATGATTACTCAAACGGTAAGAATATGTCTATTCTTCCTTATTAGCTTTTGAGATACAGATACATGGGTAAAGGAAAGATGATTTTACACACATTCAAAAGGATTAAAGGAAAAATACATTACCCTATTCTCCGAAGTTTTACAACGGTTTCGTTTGTCAACTCCTTTATCAAAACACGTATTCGCATCATCTTGTCTCTTTCGTTTAACAAAAATTCGGTTTCAACGGACGAAATAGAACGAACTGCTTCTGTTTCGTTATTTATGGCACATAGTGTACTTTCGGTATGTCTTAACTGCTTAATAATATTTAGTCAATGTTTTGGAATGTTTAAAATTATAGACAATAAATCACTGACCTTCTCAAGTTCAATTCTTTTGTAAATCGATAACCAAAACGAATTTACTGAAGAAGGCTTTGGGTTAGACTCATTGAAATTAGAGTTTAGAACCGGATTAAAACCGAATTCTAATATTGAAAATAAATCTGGTTCCAAACTCTAATTGAAATAATAAGTAGTAAATAAAATCAGTAAGAATATGCGTTTGAAATTAATAATACAATGATATGTTATTTGCGTAATGAAACCGATATGAGCGGAACATGCCATGCCGTAGCTTGACAACAGACAACCTTAGTCACCTGTCGCGACATGTCAACACCCGAAAAGCCGTAGCCATTCCCAAGTCACCGTAGTTATTGGTTATTCGGGAGTTTGTCAACACATCGATTTAACAAATGTGTTCTAGTACTCGAACCCTCCCATCTCATTCTGTTGTAATTGAAAGTGTACTTACCTTGAATTCATAGAGATACCTCTTTGCTTTTACACGATGCTTCTTATTTTCGTGTTCTCCAGTTATATACTCCAGATTTCTGTCATAAAAAGTGTTCCTTTGTTTTATTCGCTTTAAAGTCTTCTTGAGTTTTGCAATATTTCAAGTAACCCAGTAAGCTCCAGTCTTTGTCATATTGGAAGTACTCTGGTGATCTAAATTTTCCATAGGAGAATGGGATACGTATTGCGAAGGAAAATTTTTTTTGTTTATATGAGCAAATGATGTTCTAAGCCACTTAATTTATCCAAATGAGATCGTCATTAATGTTACATATAAATTTCTTAACGTTAAGAAAAAAGTAGCAAAGTGACCTTTTATCTACGTATGACAACTCTTTCAATTACATGTATAAACTAACTCGTTCCGTTTACTAAATAAAAAGATTATACTCGTTCGTTTTTTATGTAATTTTCTTAATATTATTGTTCTTTGTTTCTGTCTTGAGCAACGAGCACTAACACTATATGTAATGATAATAATATCGAGAGTTAACTGTATACATACTGTTACAATTATGTTATAAAAATCATTAATTCCATAATTTGTTATATTTTATGAATTATGAAAATTATGTGAAGAACTTGAAATGTTTTACAATTAAATTACATACTATTAATTATTATATTTATTTATTTTTATACTCTTCTAACTTGTATCACTATATTTTTATACTTTTATACTTTATAATTTTATACTTTTATACTTTTATATTTTTATATTTTATACTTTATAATTTATATTTTATACTTTTATATTTTTATACTTTTATCCTAAGTGAATGTATTTTAGCCAATCAAAAAAATCTTTGAAACTTATACTTATTTATTTTTTTTCTTTCTTTTTCTACTTTTCATATTTAGTAAATTGGAACTCTATTTTTAGTTAGCATATTTATCTTTTATATTCTTTTTTTGTTTTTAATATTAGTTGTAGTTGAGTCTTAACTCAACATGTCAAAACTTGAGAATAAATAATATAATAAAACAAATATTTTTTAAACAATTAAACAATTTGTCTTCTCTCAATGTACACTTCAAAACTTGCAAACAAGTAGTATTAAATTGATTGAGCTGATCAAAATAATGTTATTGAATTAATATTTTGTTATAGACTAGTTATTTGATATTTTCATTATATAGAATTTCTCAATTAAAATCATTATAATCTCTTACTTGTGAGAAGAACAAAGTGAAAGAGTCTTTGTTATTTTTGTTATCATTAAATTTGAAATATATTTATATCAATACAAAGAATTAATACTTTAATTAATATTTTAATTAATAAATTAATTAGAATATTTTGTTTAGTAAGTATAGTTAATCAGAATATTATTTATAAATAAATATTATTACCTTATTCTCTTTTATATTTTATTTCTCTTTCAAATTATAATAATTTTAGATATATATTTTCTTGTTATTCTTATATTTATTTAATTATCTCTTTCAATTTCAGTTTGTATTTATTAATTAGTTATACAATTAGTAAAAAATATATAATAATATATATTTCTAGTTGAAAAATTAATCAATTCTAATACTAATATTTAATATTAATTAAATTATAATGAAGTTAATTTATTATTGAATTTATTTTAACAAATTGGTAAAGTTTATAAAAATACTAGATATTGTGATTAGGGTTCCGAAAAAAAGTCTGGTTCGGTTCGAGCTTGAACCGGACTCGAACCTGACGAAAAGTCCGGTTCGAAAAT